TACATGAGGAAAGTTTCACATTTGCTAAGGGGTAAAAGGCATCCTAGATAGGGAAAACAGCATGAGCAAAGTCATGGAATTGCTGGAGTTAAGATTTGAGAAGAAGAGACTGCAAGGCCAGGAAGCTGAAGACAATACTATTAACCATTTATTGAGCACTTACTATATTTTAAGCATTGTTCTAAATAGTTAACATTTATTCCTCACAACAGTTTTTTGAGATAGTTATTTTATTATTTTTATTTTTCCAGTGAGGAATCAGAGAGGTAAAAATGGTACCTGATTCTAAGATTTTTAAGTTTGAAATAGCCACGTGGGAGGTAAAAGTCCGAATAAAGCATTTTTATCCGATGGACTTATATTCAAAAGAACAATCAAGATTATTCTGGGGTTTAAAAAGTCTTACATTAAATTCAAAATGAAGTTAACTGTTAAAATTTTACTGTAGTAAATTAATATTAAAATATATAGTCATGGTATAATATTCTTAAGATTTTTGACCTTTTCATTGTATATTATATTTGTATATTATACTACAAATACAGGAAACTGCATAAAATGCACATAATTTAATAACTTTTTAAACAACAACAAACAAACAAAATAAATATGCTTTGTAAATACTCTCCAGGTCAAGAAATAAATCCTTGTCATCTACCCTAGAAGCCTTCCACATCCCCCTTCCCAGCCATAGCCCCTTCCTTCTCCCTTAACTAGTTACTGCTTTCCTGACTTCTATAGTAATTGCATCTTGGTAGTGTTTTATAATTTTATCACCCAAATGTGCATTCTTAAAACACTGTAATTTAGTTGTGCCTGTTTTTTGTTTTTTTGAAGTCTTAATCTTCACGGTCCAATGCCATCTCTCCTTACCACTTTCTACATTTTATTGAAGCAACCAGGTTTTTGACAGCTACAGATTAAATAATCTGGGTTATGCTATTTGTATGATTTTTATTCATTCTCTGTATTTCCTGTAAATTGGTAGTTGGATCTAAAAACTCTTGACCAAGTTCAGATTTTTTTGTTTGTTTTTGGACAAGAATGTATCCTACATGTTGATGTGGTCTAACCTCCACCAGAAGGTATGTATGATTATTTATTTTTTGTGAGTTTAGCAGCCATTGATGTTTGATACCTAGAGCAATGAATTTATTAGGGATTACAGAGTGGAGATATTTAAATTCTGTTATTTATTCATTTATAGGATGGAATGCTTCCATAAAAATAAACTTTTCTTCATCTACTATTTGGTTACCCAGAGGTACAGTTTAGTTAGGAAAGGCACGGTAGACATTTGCTTCTTTACCAGTTTTTGAAGTAATACGTTAGTTTCCTGTTATCCTCTGGCGGTGACCAATGAGTTCTTTTTAAGTGTCATTATAAACCTATTGATTTACTCCAAGTAAATAAATATTTAATGCTCACTGTTAGGGTCACTGAAGGAGGAACACACGAAGCTAAAGGGGGTAAAGAATTATGCATTTATTAGGTCATCTGGAAAACCAGATGGGCTGAGCCCCAAAATGACACCAGGCCCCAAAGACGGGGAGTCAGAGGTTTTTTTTGTTTTTAAATATATTTCTTTATTGATTTCAGAGAGGAAGGGAGAGGGAGAGAGAGCTAGAAACATCAGTGAGAGAGCA